CAAGAATGTTTACAGCAGCATTGCTTGTAAAAGCTGGAAACAACCCAATGTCCACTGACAGGAGAGCGATAAATAAGAGGGGCATTGTGGAATCAGGAATTTCAGGGCAGTGAAGGGAAAGCAGCAGTCCACACAGCACGGTTAACAGTCAGGCCTGCTGTTGAGTGATGCAACAAGGGTGTGGGATCATCAGAATGTGAAGCTCACAGACTTACAAGTTAAAGTGTATATGTAGATAGAAACTTCCAGGAACTCAGAATGGTGGCTGAGGTATGGAGGGAGAGTGATGACTAAGGAGCATGTGTGACAGCAGTGCAGTTGACGCACTCTGCCTCTGAGCTGCACCATCCAGTGTCAGTCACCAGCCATGCGCCACAGTTTAAATTATACAGCTCGATAGCAATTCAGTGCCTCTGCCTTACTAGCCACGTTCCAGTGCTAAGTGGCCACAAGTGGCTACTGTGTTAGTGCAGATGCCATCTTCTCAGAAGTTTAGTCCTGTGTGCTGGGCCAGGTAGTGGATGCGTGGATCCCATTCATCGTCTGTAACTTGTATACGTGTATAGGAAATCTTTAAATTTTTTTGTTTTAATTTCAGTACTAGACAATCTTTTAAAAGGCACATTTACAAAGTCTGCAGTGTGGTTTCTTAAAAGTCAGGGACTAGGAGAGGAGTGGTAGAACTACTGAGACTGCAGCAGGAGGGAGTGTCTCCTGGACATCAGCCTCTCCTCCAGTGATTGATGTGTTGTGGGAGGAGCAGGGAGAGCAAGCAGCTGTTGACAAGATTGCCCTAGCAGCAGCTTTCATGCCAGTGTCATCTGCTGCCTCCTCCCACCCTGCTACCACTGGTCATTACAAAGCTGCTTCATCAGCCCTCCCTGGCATAGTTTGAAGGACCTTGAAAATCACCTGAAACCTCTGCTGCCAATCCATCATTTCAAGGCAAAGCCCAAAAATGGCCTCCACTCAAAATCTGGTGTAGACTGTGGCCTAGTTTCCTGCTGTCCTCAATTTCCAGAGTTTAGATGGTTGGTTGTTGTCACAGTCTTTTCTCTTCACTTGACTGGTCCTTGTGCCACAGCTGGCTGTTTTGTGGCTCCTGGATACCCCAACAAGAGATTTATACTAGGGTCACAAAGTGCCTATATGGCTTCCCATCTGTGCTCCTCGACACACTGGAACTGTGCTCTGCCAGCTGAGTAGATGTAGAGACTGCAGACTTACTCCCTGGCTTCCATCAGCAACTTGCAGGTGGAGCTGCCCCTAACTGGTCTCTGTGTCATGACAAGGGCTGGCCCTGCCCTTGCATGATCTTTTTGTGACTTCCACATTTCTTTGCTATCCTTGTTCCACCTTGGTTCTCTTGGTGGGGTTGTAAATGTGGCCTAGGCAGCAGACCGTGGTGAAGGCAGAAGTTGGGTCACCCACACTGAGTCTCTGAAGGTCTTTGACCACCACAGGAAACCCAAGATACATACATACATACATACATATATATATGTATGTATATATATATATATATCCTGCCACGACTTCCCCATTTGAGTCTGCTTTTCTTTCCCCACTTTCAGGCTTCCTTGTACAGATTAGTACATCGCTCTAACATTCCCTCTGTTCTGGGAGCCTGCCTGGCAGAGATGTGCTGTGTCTTTCAGGGCTATTGTGAGTCAGTCGGAAAGGATAGGATGGGCAGCAGTAAGACCGACTCAGAAGGCGGGTTACCCCACAGCAAGGAGGAGATTAACAGCTGTGCTGCTCCTTGCAAGTGGAAGAGGAGAGGGCATTTGTAAGGCACTTGTTTAATGAGGAGAGTGGGCTGAGTACTACAGAGTAACTTGACCAAGATCTGGAGGCAATTGGGAAATAAGAATTCACCTGGCTACCCATCCAAACCATGCAGTTAAGTCAGCTCCCTGTACTTAGCAGGTACCATGTGCCAGGCACTTTGATAAGTACACATGCTCCTAGTCAAGCCACTGCAGGTTTACAATGTAAATCAAAACTAACTTAGAGAACGTCAACTTAGCCTGGCCTTGGCCTGCCTTACAGGTGCTCAGAGCAGGTACGTCAGCCTATAGTTGAATAAAGTCATCTAACACAAACCCTGTTTTATAACAAAATGTGGAGTGTCTCATATCATATATTGACTACCTATATTCAGAACCTGCGGGCCACACGGTTCACCATGGAGTTTTGGTTGCTTTCTTTGTGATGGCAGAGCCAACTGGCAGCCTCACAAGAGTGCGTCGTACCACAGATTGCTAGCCCAGGAAATGATCACACTGTGGATTACAGCTTCTACTGCATGCATTCTTCACAGCAGGGTCTCCTTTAATCTCCACATACCAGCCATTTCCAAAGTCATGTTTTCAAGGAAGACAGCTGAAGGTTAGGAGAGGCAACCTGCAAGTGTTTTGGCCCAAGCAGTCTGCAGTGCATGCCCTTTTAACCATCTCACGATGAGAATGGTCACATCATTTTGATGTGTTGAGAAGGAAGTACAAACTAAATGGGGCCCATCCTGCGAGGGTGTAGAGGGGCAAAGGGGAACTGGAAAATCACACCTTTCTGGTGTATCTGCAGCTCCCGGGGTGGCTGCAGGCTATTGGTGGAGGGCCTAGAACCCCACCCACCATCCCTAGCTGCTGGGCCAGGTGAGAAGTCAGGGTAATTGCTTCCTTTGAATCTGTGTCCACCTTTGGGAAGGACTGCTGCAGTTCTGGCCAGCACCCAGTGGTGGAGTAGTGTTGGTTTTGACTACATACAATTAGGGTCAGGCCCTGGCTTTTCTCTGTGGGCCCAGTGCTTTGAGCTCCTGGATAACTTGCAAAGGACGGACAGTTTATCTGATCCTGCCTGGCCACCTGCAGGGTCTGTGAGAAAGGATTTGCACGTTGGCCTTATTAAGTCACATGCAACAATGGTAGACATAGTGACAGCCTTGTAATACAAGTGCTATGTCATTTATTTGGAGGGAATTTTTTAAAGTTCTAAATTGCTGGAAATTTGGATAGGATGCTTTTTATTTTTTGAAACTATAGAACTGTAGAAACTTTTTTTTTTCCCTGTGGAACTGGGGTTTGGACTAAGGGCTTTGCATTTGCAAAGCAGGTGCTCTACTACTTGAACACACCTCTAGTCCATTTGCCTCTGGTTGTTTTGGAGGGGGTGGGGGGTCTTCTGAACTATTTGCTCAGACTAGCCTCAAACCATGATCCTTCCAATTTCAGCCTCCCAAGAAGCTAGGATTACGGGCATGAGCCACCAGTGCTCAGCTAGAGACTTACTCTTCCATGGCACAGGGGAGTGTTTTGTTCTTAACTTCCAGCCAGCTTTTATTTTCTGTGAACTTCAGCTGTTACTAAAAGAAGCAGTCTTCTTTCTAGGTTGTGTTTTAGTTGGTGATTTGTTCATTTACTGAGCATCTTCTGTGGTCTTGGTTCCCTGTTACCACTGGGAAAGAGGCATGAGCAACAGGGAAGACCCTTGGGGAGCTTTTCTTGTAAGCAGACAAACACATAATTCTGGAAACTTGTGGTAAATGGTGTGAGGAAGGAAGACTATCCAGTAGCTTTGAGATTTAATTCACATATTTTACAGTTCTTCATTTAATTGAATGTTCTTTTAGTAATTTACTGGCTTGGGCAACTATGACCAGATTCTAATTCGGATATTTTTGTCCCCAACCAGAAGACTACCATAATCATTAGCAGTCACTTTCTGTCCTTCTGCCCTGTGCCTGTGGTTTTAGGAAACCACTGTCTGCTTTCTCTGTGTTCTAGACACTTCAGACCAATGGAATCATGCAATATGTGGTCATTCGTGACTGGCTGCTATTGGTTAGTGTAATGTTTTCAAGGTTCATTCATGTTGTTTCACGAATAAGTACTTAATTCCCTTTTTATTGCCGAATAATATTCCATTATATGGCGTGGCTATACCACATTTTATTTATTCATTCATGGATATTAAAGTTCTTTCCACCTTTTGGTTATTCTGTAAAGTACTGCTGGGAGCTGCATGTGGATATGTCTTCATTGCCTAGAGTGAAGGGGAGATCTCTGTGTGATCTTAGGAGTAACTGCCAGTGCTTCCCCAGAACGGCTGCGAGACGTCCAGCCACTCCTGCCCATGCCAGCACACCAGCGCTTCCTTTGGCTGTGTTTGTTATCACACGTGGTGTGAAGTGTGCCTTTCTGTGCTCAGATTTATGTCTCCCTAAAAGAGTAGCTGGGTGACCATCTTTCCTGTGTTATTGCCAGTTGGTTATCTTCTTTGGAGAACTGTCTCTTGGAATCCTTTGGTCATTTTAAATTTGGTTACTTTTTTATTATTTTTGAGTTGTAACAGTTAATTTTAATTTCTTTCTCTCCCTGTCCCTCTCTCTCTTTGGTCAGTACTGGTGTTGAAATCAGGGCTTTGAACTTGCTATACAGGCACTACCACTTGAGCCACACCCCAGCCCTTGTATCACTTTTAGTTATTTTTCAGACAGTCTTGCATTGTTATATGGAGCTGCACTCAGAACATGATCCTCCTACTTACACCTCCTGTGTAGCTGGGATTATAGGTATGAGCCATTGTACCCAACCTCATGCAAGCTCAGCTCTACCACCGAGCTATACCCCAAACCAAATCCTCTTAATTCTGAATGCAAATCCCTTGTCAGATTATGGTTTTCCAATCTTTTCTCCCTTTTTCTTTTTTTGGCAGTACTGGGGTTTGAACTCAGGGCTTCACACTTGCTAGGCAGGTGTTCTACCTCTTTTGAGCCATTCTGCTAGCCCCCTTTCCACTTTCTTAGTAGTATCATTTGCAGCAGACATTTTTTAATTGAAACATGTAGGCAGAAAAGTTTTAGGGGGTTCCCATTTCCCTTCCTTTGAACCCTGGAGCAGTCAGGACAAGTTGTTAGATTGAGGACACAGTTTACTTCCATGACAGAAGCCACGACTTCTTCCCACTCTGCCTCCTAACCGCCAGCTCTGTGTTTTCAGACTCGCAGCGTTCTCACCTCTCCTCCTTCACCATGAAGCTGATGGACAAATTCCACTCTCCCAAAATCAAGAGAACACCTTCAAAGAAGGGAAAGCCCACCGAGGGGTCTGTGAAGATTCCAGAGAAGCCTGTGAACAAAGTAAGCTACCTCTCTAAGTGTTCTCCTGCCCCAGCCCTGGCCTGCGTCCAGCAGTGTGACAGCAGTGTGAGTTGGGCTGTGTGTCAGTGCACACCATGGGGTCATCTGTGGCCTTGTGAACTGGGACCTTTAGGATGGTGAATGTCTGTCCTGCTTATTAGTCCAGCTAGCGGCTAAGACAGTTCTCCTTCCCCAGCAGGGCATCCTGTGGGCATTTACAAAGCCCAGTGCACTGAATTCACACCCTGGTGCTGCTTGCTGCCCCAGAGGTCCCCACATTCCCCCAGGGCACGCACATACAGGGAAGTTGATGACGTCCTGAACATCCACTGTTTGACTTCAGGGTCCGTGCTCTGAAATTCAAAGCCCTCAAAACCCGGCCAAAAATGTTCTCAAGCACTAGTAACCTCCGCAGGGCCTGCCAGCCAGATATGTTGACATAGCTGTTGATTTTCGTCAGCCTTCCCTCAGCCCGCACCGGCATTTCAAGCTCTGTAGGAATCCAGGTTTCCTCTCTTCCAGGAGGCAAGAGACAGATTTCTACCAGAGGGCTACCCTATCCCCTTGGATCTGGAGCAGCAGGCAGTAGAATTTTTGTCCACCAGTGCTGTGGCTTCCAGGTCTCAGAGGCAGAAGGTCAGTGTAACGTTAAGAACAATTGGGTTTGCCTTGCCTTCCCCTGCAGAGTCCTGGCTCATGGTGTGGGGATGGAAAAACACCCACTGCAGTCTCATTGTCTCATTGTGCCTGGACTGGGTCACGACTCAGAGCCCACTGGGCCTTGGACAAAGGGAGCTTGTCCAAGCTTCCCTGGCCTGTGGTGGGAGCTCAGCACCCACAGCAGAAGCCTGGGGCTCCTTTCTGGGATGGATTTGGTGTGCTGCTTGGGTCCAGTGGGTGTGGGGGAAGTGGGTCTTTCCTTCAGGAGCAGCTGTCCTGCCCTTGAATTGCTGAGGTGCTATGGACAGCTTAGAAGGGGAAGGCTTCTTAACCTCATGGCGCTCTCTTGACCATCTACAAGGCTTGGGGGCTCTGAACCAGTGACACCTGTGTCTCCAACACTGACAGGGCTTTTTCCTGGCCTTCTTCTGAGTGCTCCACACATGTTCTCTTCCTCATTATTCATCACAACCCTGACAGTCAAATACCTATCTTGCTGAAAAGGAAACTTAAGTCTATAGGGAGATAGCATTCAGCTAAAGTCACATAGCAAAAAGGAGTGAAGGTGAAATTTGAAGTCAGGACATCCAGTATCAGAGCCTGAATTCTTATGATTTTTTTTTTCTTTTCTATGGGATGATGGATATCAAACCCAAGGTCTTGCACATACTAAGCAGGTGCTCTACCAGTGAACTACGTCCCTGACCTTGGTTTTGTGAGGCAGAGTCTCAATGTGTAGTTCAAGCTGGCCTTGAACTTGGAATCCTTCTGCCTCTACCTCCCCAGTGCTGGGGTTATAGACATGTGCCATCACTCCGTGCTGCTACGTTTATTTCTTCTTTAAAAATGCAAGCCAGGGGCTGGAGGTGTGACTCAAGTGGCAAAGTACCTGCCTAGCTTAGCAAATGTAAAGCCCTGAGTGCAAGCTCCAGTACCACCAAAAAAAGAGAGAGACTTTGTTAATATCTCACAGATCTAAATATTAATCTCAGTGCACTAGCATAAATTAAAAAAAAAAAAAAGTAAAGTTAGCGGACTGGAAGTGTGACTGAAGTGGTAGAGCACTTGCCTAGCATGTGTAAAGCCCTGAGAGTTCAAACTCCAGTACCAGCTGGGTGCTGATGGCTCATACCTGTAATCCTAGCTACTTGGAAGTCTGAGATCAGGAGGATCATAGTCCTAAACCTGCCTGGGCAAATAGTTTGTGAGACCCCATCTCCAAAATAACCAGAGCAAAAATGGACTAGAGGTGTGCCTCAAGTGGTAGAGCACCTGCTTTGCAAGCACCTGCTCTGCAGGTGCAAAGCCCTGAATTCAAACGTCAGTCCCATCAAAACCACCAAAAAACAAAACAAAACAAAATCCAGTATCGCCAAATACAGTTAGCAATGTAAGATAAAAACAAGTTTAGCATACAAATCAGTTCTTAGTCCTGTAATGAATATTCAAAAGGAAATTTGTCATAGAACTGTTGTCACACCCATCAATTTAATGCAGCTTGACAAACACTACCCTGCTATTTAAACACAGAATTCTTCAATTTTGCAGTTCATCTACTTTAGGCTTTTATGTTGGCTAACAGAGTATCTTGAAAGTCTAGTTAAAAGTAGAGAAAATAGGGGGTTTAAGTCCACAAGTCTTCTGGGGCTGGAGGTGTGGCTCAAGCAGCAGAGAGCTTGCCTAGCAAGCTGAGGCCTTGAATTCAAAGCCCAGTACCTACCAAAAAAAAAAGAAGAAGAAGAAATTTTTGCTGCCTTATCTGTTAAGGAAGCTGAAACACAAGAGGGGAGTATTCGCATCTGCCAGAGGCCTGGATTCCAGATGGAGGAAGAGCAGTGAGGTCGAGGATGAGGGCTTTGCCTTCATCCAGCTTTGCCTTACAGCATGGTTAGCCAGCTCTTGGAGCTGAGTTCATGGTAGCCCTGGAAAGCGTGAGCCACCACCTTCCACTGACTGGCAGTTCAGGGTGACATGGTCTGTTGACAGCTTTGCTCTGCTAGTGAGCTCTGATGGGAACCTGTCCAGCCACTCGGTCCTTGAGTTTTTCCCCCTCTTTATCCCAAGAGATGTCACAGAGGAAAATTTGATGGAGAGCAGCCTCACTTAGTAGGGTGCCTGCAAATCCCAAAGCATACCTGGCAATGCCTGGAAACATTTGTCACCATAGGAGGGTGAAGCAGGTACTACGGGGCATCTCGTGGGAGGGGCCCTCAATGCTGGAAAGCACACTACAGCATACAGGGCTGCTCCTCTGCGACAGGGAGCTGCAGGAGGCCCTGTATCGAGGACAACTATTAGCCCCATCCGTCCCACTGACAAGGTCTAGATTACTTTACTGTGTGCCAAGTCACCTGCATGGGACAGAGTGAGCACAAGCCTGCTGTGTAGTGGGCCCCAGGCAAAACCAGAAACCGTGGGGAGTCTGCTGCAGTGTGTAGACCAAGAAACCTTAGGTTTGGCTCTTGCTGTCATAGTCTACTGCTCATTAGCTCTTAATGCTGGTGAGTGTTTACAGACAGCCTCATTTTACCCCTGTCCCACACCTGGCTTCCCTGTTGAAATACCTGGAAATTCAGATTCACAGTCACTTCCTGGGGTTTCTCTGCCCAGACCCTGTTCCAGGTGGTCTCGCATAAGCTGTTTTATTTACTCCTGATCATAACTGTGTGGGGAAGGGTTTTATTATTTTCAGTATAAAGACAGTTTTGTGTGCAGCATAGGTTTTCTTAATTCAAATCTGTTTTCCTTTTATGTTCTATTGTCTTTCCCCACTGGTTTCATGTAGACAAATTAGTAGTCTCATGTCTCTTCGTAGATGAATTTGTAAACTCTTACAACTTTTTAACAAGCTTTGCAGTGAACCGTGGCGTGTTAAAGCAGCAGAATAATTTAGTCACTGGGAGCTCAAAGCTGACAGTCCTAGTGGTTGTGATCACAGTGAGCACTGTCCAGAAACCAGAAATGGCCCTGGAAGGGGTGAGTTCTCCAAGCCCAAGGGCATTTGAACAGTCAGTGGATCCTCTTGAGTGGACTCCTGAAGGCGTTTCCCTTCAACTTTCCAGATCATGTATGAAATGTAAGAAGGGAGATGCCACTGCCCAAGAACCTAGCAGCAGGCAGAGCTGCCAGATGTTCACTGTGACTGACCTCTCTTAGTCAGGGCTTCCTGCTAGGCCTGGCTGTCTAGCCCAGTGGAAAAGAACAGTGTTGTACTCCCTTTAAACACTCCTGTGGCTCCAGCTTTCACTACACCATTCTAATTCCCCCCACCCTGGCTCACCCCACATTACAAGGTTCACTGTCCTCTAGTGCTTATGAGTGAGGCTTGCTTTCTATGGCACAGAGAGCCCGGGCTGCAGGTGGAAAAGGACTGGAAGACACAAGCTGGGCATTGCTGCCACTCACTGCAGGGCTAGTGGCTGAAGCCCAGGGCCAGTTTTTATCCCTCGTTTGTCCTCCAGTGCTTGTCCTGTGTAACATCCATAGTAACAAAGCACACCTGAGTTCTGTGATGACACCACCCCTGGGCAGAAAAGTGACTGGTTTCTAGCCACTGGATCTCATTTCACTTACTCACTGTTTGAAAGCTTTGGACCCAGGAATTACTAGTAAATTTCTTTTTCTTTTCTTTTCTTTTTTTGGTGAGACTGAGTTTTGAACTCAGGGTTTCACACATGCAAAGCAGGTGCTCTACCACTTGAGCCATGCCTCCAGTCCATTTTGCTCTGGTTATTTTGGAGATGGGGTCTCTGAACTATTTGCCTGGACTGGCCTCAAACCACAATCCTCCCAATCTTAGCCTCCCAAGTAGCTAAGATTACAGGTGTAAGCCAACAGCACCTGGCTAACCAGTACAGTTCTTAATTCTTCCAAGACTTTTCTTTTCTGTCCTTTTCTTTCCCTTCCCTTCCCTTCCCTTCCCTTTTCTTCCTCTCATCTCTTCTCTTCTCTCTTTCAACACGATGGGGTCTTGCTATGTTGCCTAGGCTGTCTCCTGGACTCAAGTGATCCTCCTGCCTTAGCTTCCTGAGCAGCTGGAACTATAGGTGTACACCACCACACCCAGATCCTCCAGGACACTTTGTTTGAGGCAGGGTCTAGCTATGGGCTTGAACATGAAATCCTCTTGTCTTTGCCTCCCAAGTACTGAGATTACAGACAAGAACCACCGTGTCCTTCAGTACTTCTTTAAATTGACCTCTTGTGTCAGGCTCTGGAATCAAGCAGACCAAGTTCAATTTCCAGTTCTGTCATTCCAGCTATGTAATCTTGGGCACATTACTGAATCTCCCTTACTCGCCACCAAGCCTCAGTTTCCTCACCTGTGAAGTAATGACATCTGCCCTGTGGGGTGGTTGTAGCCCTGAAATGAAGCAGCCTATGGAGTGAATAGTTTTGTGGATGACTTGAAGTACCCAGTGAGTGGCAGCTGTGACTTGGCACTTTCCTTCCCTTTCAGATTTTTCCACCCTTTGTCTTCCTTCTTTGCTTTATTATTAGCAGACATCATCTCTGATACTGGTTCAGTGTCAGTTCCATGTTCTGACTGATTTCATACACATCCTCGTTTACTCCACCCCAGTAATCTCTGGTTATGCAGGGCATATACATTTGCCTCGTTTTACAAACGTAGAGCCAGAAGTCTGCTACTTCCTTAGTCCAACTGTGGACCATGGCTCTGGGCCCTCCCTAGGTCTGATAGGCAGCTGCATGGAGTTGCCAGGATTATGGGCACCAAAGGAGGCAACTGTTCCCCTTGGGCAGGAGGGGCATGTAGGTGGATATGCCACCACTTTGAGATTAGCAAAGCTACTGCATTGATTCCCCAGGTCTGGCTAGTGCTGGGTACAGGTATGTTGTACACTGTTCTTTCTGGCCATTGGCCCAGTTCAACAGCTGAAGAGCTAGGGAATTGTATCGCTCTCAGAGGCCATTAATTTTGGCTGTGGAATTTGCTGGAGAGTTAGTGGGTGCCACCTGACTGCTTAGTTGTTGGCTCTTAGTGAAGGAGCCCAGGGCAGCCTGGCTCTTCCAGGTCAATTGGTCTCTCTGCGGTGACAGGAAAGGCCTCTTTCTGTGCTGATGCCTGCCCCTTCCAGTGCTTCCCACCCCAGCTCAGCCCCTTCTCCCTCACGTGTACAGTGACACATTTTCTTAAAATAGTTCTTTTCCCTCACCTAGTCTCGCCATCGCTGCCTGCCAGCACTTTCTGTGGTGCCAGGATGTCAGTGTTTGTCCTAGTCCTTCTCCTGCCCGCCTGACCATGGCTTCGGTTGAATTTGCTGTGTGCCAGCCCTGGCAGCCTGACTCCTCAGTCTCTTTCCTGTGCAGGCAGTGGCAAAGCTGAGAGCTCTCATCCAGGTGGTAAGGGAACCAGTGCCAGCCATGTCAGATAGTGAAAGGAGACACAGAGCCAGGATGGAGACCCAGTCACTGGCAGGAGGAAGACGTGCTGTCCGCTTGGGGTGGAGGAGGTATATTCCAGGTGCAAACCACACCCTCGGGAAATCATATGACTAAAGTAGCTATTTACTTCTTGATTCCGTATAGTTACAGATTTTTCTTTTGATATTCTTATGAAATAAAAGCCTCCACTATTGAATTTTTAAGATTTAAAATGACATTCCCTATCATTTTAGAAGAGCTAGTGCTCAACATGGTAAGCATTTTTGCAATATTTCTACCATTTGTACTTTTATATGTTGTTACTTAAATTGCCTTTTTCTGGAAGTTCTCTTCTTGCCCTTGGTTGCCTTTATGGGACTCTGGATCTTGGAGAGCCCACAGGTGGCTGCTTTCCCCACCCAAACCCCTCTCAATTTCACTGGACACATGATCTGCCCTTGTGTAAGCTGTCCATTTGTGAATTCATCCATTCAGTGGATTACTCTTCAATTTCCCGCCCCTGCCCGCCAGCTGGAACCTGGGTCACTGACATTAGGGCCATTAGATGGGAGGTTAGAGAAAATGAGTGGAAGGAGTGTGTGAGTCCAAGGGTTCCCACAGTCAAGGAGAGCAGCATGGTGGAGATGGAGCTCTGGAAAGCCCAGGGCTCTGTGTTTTCTTTTCCTCCCAGAATCAAAGGGTCTAAATGCTGTTAACAGACAGTGCACGAGTGGCCACTGAATCATTGGCAGCCACTCTACTTCCTCATCTCTTCACCCCAGCATCCCATGCTTCCCAACCCTGGGCCTGCTGGGTCCTTTGGAAGTAATATATCATTGCATTGAGAGGGGGTTGCAGATTTGGTCTGAACAATGCTGGGACCTAGTGAGGAGGCTGGGGGAAAGGGTTTTGAATCCTCATGCCTCCTCAGAGTCCCTCACATCTTTGGCAGAAAAGCCTATAAATGGGATGTACATGTGCCATGGGACATGGCCATTGCTTCCCCAAGTCATCAGCAAATCATTCCTCACCAGGAGTAATGAGATTAATAATGATTTCTCGTTGTGTCTGCTTAGGACAGGGAAGAGAATGGTTTTCAGACTTCAGTGGGAAGGGAATTCGAGCAATTTTAAATAACAATATTAGTCCAAACCCCTTCTTCAGGTCTGGCCTCTCTCTCCTGATTATGATTTTAGAAAAACAATCTCAGCTTGATTCCTGTAGCCAGGACCTTTTCCATTTGCAGCACTTTTGAACTAGTTTATGGGAAATTTTGTGTTTTCAAAATAGCTCCCTTTAACCTCTCTCCTCCCTCCTTATGCTTAACGTTTCCTTTCAGAACCTGAGCTGGCTGGAAGAGAAAGAGAAGGAAGTTGTCAGTGCCTTGCGCTACTTTAAGACAATTGTGGACAAAATGGCTATTGATAAGAAGGTACTGGAGATGCTTCCAGGGTCAGCCAGCAAGGTGCTAGAGGCCATCTTACCCCTGGTGCAGACCGACCCTCGGATCCAGCACAGGTGAGTTGCTCCAAAGCCCTTGCCTAGAGCAGCAGTGGAAAGCTTAGAGGCACCTTGGTTTGGAGCACTTGAAACACAAGGTTTCTAGGAACCATTGGGAAAAGGACTCTTCCACGTCCTTCCCACTCCCCAGCTATACCCTGATGTCTTCCCCCCCAGCGTTAAAGTCATTGCTGCTTCTGAGTCATCAACACTGAGGCCGATCTCCATCATCCCAGGGGATGAGGCCACAGTGGAATCCGTGGCCGATTCTTTGCATTAGCTTGTTGACAGTAGTCACATTGATTGGAACACATTTCTCCCGCTGCCTTCAACAGTCACCTAACATACTTAACCACCATTTATTATGACATTCAATCCCATCAGTAGAGTCCTCCTGCTTGGATGATCAACCAGAAGCAAGTGAAGAATCCCACCAGAGCGTGGAGTAGTGAAGCATTTGCCTGTGCCAGGCCAGGACCTCCCAGGTGGGGGAAGGAGGGGACTGGAGTCAGTCTTTGCCCTAGGATGCTTTGGTTGAGTACAGCAGCTTTGATTGCTAGAGTGCATTTTCCTCTTAAAGGCTAGTGAGCATCTTGCCCCCTACTTACTGTTAAGTATAGAAAGAGAAGCAGTGTTAATGAGTCTCAAAGCTTGGCAGGAGCTTTTTCTGAAGAGGCTGGCAGATTTGCAGGGGTTTCGTCCAGGGTACCTGTTCAGGATCAATGCATCTCTGTTTCAATTTCTCAAGATGACTTTTTATTCATTTAGTCCCATGAGGCTGAGCTTTTATGAAAATGGCAATGAGCTCAAAGTCTTTTTCTTCTGAGAGATAAAGTCTTTATTTCCAAGAAACTCTCTGCCCAGACCTTCCACCTTGAGTTTTTGCTGATTCCCAGAAATTGTGGATTTTTGGCTAGGAGCTTCCCAGTGCTGGTTGTGTGGCTTGGCCTGTTACTGTCTACATTGTGACTCTCCCCATAGTTTGTCCCAAGCCCAGCTTTAGGGACATAGTCTCCTGACACTTGGCCATGATCACATGTGTAGATGGCTTTCTCTAAAATGTTTTCGTATCTGTGTTCTCATGAGATGGTCTCCATCAGGGAACAGTTAAATCTACCTGAAAAATTCAGTTCAGTAATAGTTTTGTTAGTCACTCCATATTAATAAAATATCTGCTGAGAAAGGAGCCTCACGACAGAGAAAATTACCCAAAAAAAAATTACCCAAAAATTCAGTTCCCCCAGTATGTGATAAAGTGCTGATTATGTGACAGAGTGGAAGCTCTATTGGAATTGAAGAAGGGAGTGTGGCAAGAGAGTTGCAGTAGGAAGTCAACTTCCTGGTGAGGCAGTGCTGGAGATCCATCTGAGGAAGAGGCAGAAGCTGGATTGGCAGTGGGGGAGGCAAGCAAGAGAAGCAAAGGACTTGTGGCCAGTGGGGACTGTGTCCCCAGTGGGAATAGGATAGTTCACCTGACCTGCTATCCATGGTGCTAAGCCTCTTTAGGAAAGTCCATGAGGTCCCTTAGCTGAATCGATGGCTAGTTATATCACGGTGCATTGCCACTAGGATTGCTGCTTCCTGGAGCAGCAGTTGGGGCTGGTGGCTCTACCTGGAAGGTTACGGGCAAGCACAGGGTAACCATCCAGCCACAGGAGTGGGGAGGCATGTGTCTGTAGGGGAGGGTTTTCTTATGGTTGGTAAGGTTATTTAATGTCTCTGCCCACTTCCAGAGAGAATACAGGGAAGTGCCTGGGCAAGGCCACAGTGAACAGTGAAATACAAAATTATCTCTGGTTGTCCTTTGACTAATCCCATGAAAGGGATTTTTCTTTCTGCAATTGGTCCAAAGCCAGTGATTGAAAAGACTTCCCCAGTTTAGATTCTTTCCACTGTCTCCTTTCTCCTTAAGTGCAGCATGTGAGCTGGGAGGAACTTTCCTGCCCCTTCTGCAGTTCTTTTCTGGTGGGCAGGCTCCTGGCTCCCCTCACCTAGATTCCAAGGATGTGAATACACTGGTATGGAATGAGCTGTTCATCACCAGCCTGAGTGTAAGGTTCTAAGAATGAAGCAGAAGTGCTGCTCCCTTCATCTGATTACTGCTAGTGGTCCTACAGCGTGGTAGTTCTATGGACCCAGCAGACAGCTGCAGGCCCAGCACAGACAGCAGCACACAGTGTTAAAGAGGCCCCACGTGGCCTCTCCAGGATGTGGGAGCCCTGAGGCTGGACTCACATTGCCAAAAGTGACAGCACCTCCCCTGCAGGGCTGAGCCACCCTTCCCAGGGGAAGGGTCCCACACCCTGTCCTTCTCACTCGTGTGAATCTCACCTCTGGAGAGTTTGCTGGCTCTCCAGACCCTCTTGGCCAATTTCCCTGGTGTCTCAAGGACTAGGGTTTACTTTCCTTCCTGCCATCTGTTCTCCTGTTGGAACATGCAGAGCAGGGTAATGGCTGGCAGAAAGCATAGCTCTCTGGAAAAATCTTTTCCTCCTTATCTGATTGTAAAAAGCTTCTCATTAGAGCATTAATTGGCTTTTGTTTTAAATGGCTTTGTTTTTAGAACTGGTTTTAGTCATATCTTACAATAGTATATATTTTTTAGAAAGTACATTTCAGCTCCTAAATATCTCCCCTCCCCCGTTTTTTGGAGTAGAGGAGGGGGTAGCCCACACATTTCCTATATTTTTGCTCTTCCTCTATTACAATGCATGAGTTTGAAATGGAAAAATAATACTTTCCAGAATTCTTAAAGAAATTACCTTTAGTTATTTTAAAAATATGTGGAAGATGTGAAAATTGTGTATTTTGGCTGCTGCCCTGCAATCATTGGGACCAAAGTTCCAGAGCTATTATGCTGTGTGCCAGAGACTACACCTCACACACAGCACACACGCACAGGCCACCTTTCCATACGTGCCCACCTCGCCTACAAATCCATGAAGCGGAGCAAGGCAGAGGATGCCAATGAAGCTCAGATCAGTTCTGACTGTTCCTTTAAAGGGTATAGTCCACTAAACCCCCATAGACCTGTGGGTTCCTGGGATCCATACAAATGACTTCCTCTCATTCCAAACAAGAAGCACACAATAATTTGACCCAGTCCAGTGATCAGCGACCTGAGAGATGGCCATAAGACCCTGCAGAGGGTGTGAGGTTTGAAGAAGCGGGATTTTATGTTATTTTGGGAAATAGAAACTTTATAACAGATTAGAATAAAGAATGCCACAAAAAAGGAGAAAGGATTTGTTTATTAAAAGCAGGTGTGAAGCCAGGCACCAGTGGTTTACACCTGGCTACTTAGGGGACTGAGATCAGGAAGATGGCAGCTTGAGGCCAGCCGGGGCAAAAAGTTAGTGAGACCCCCATCTCAACAAATAGCTAGGTGGGGTGGTGTGTGCCTGTCATCCCAAGCTGTACTGGAGGCTAAGATCTGGAGGATCTCGATTCCAGGCCAGCTCAGGCATAAAAAAGTTCGTAAGACCCCTTCTCAACAGAAAAGGGTTGGGTAGAGTGACACGCGTCTGTCATCCCAGCTGTGGTGGAAAGCATAAACATGAAGATCACAGCCAAAGCTGCCCTGGGCAAAGAAGTGAGACCCCTCACAGACCAAAATGGGTGGAAGTGTGGCTCATGCATTCGAGCACCTACCCAGCGAGCGCGGAACCCTGAGTTCAAACCCCAGAAACCAAAGAGAAAGAGGCGTGGGTCAGCCGGCGTGGTGCTCGCGATGATTCCCCACATGGGAGGCTCTTGTTGGGAAGGGGGCCTCTAGTTGACGCCAGCCGGGCTACATAATCTGCCAATCTCAGAAAACAAAAACAGAGGTGTGGATTTCATAGATAGAAAAACACACCTGGCCCTGGCATACTAGTCCTTCAGTCCTTTGCCAAGCAGATGCCTGCACATGGTGGATTTGCTTTTATCACTGCTTTTTAAAAAACTCTTCTCTTCACTCCAGCTCAGCCCTCTCATCCTGCTACGGCCGAGTGTACCAAAGTCTTGCCAACCTGATCCGTTGGTCTGACCAGGTGATGCTTGAAGGTGTGAACTCAGAAGATAAGGAGATGGTGACGATTGTGAAGGGAGTCATCAAGGCTGTGCTGGATGGAGTGAAGGTATGGGATGTGGTTTCCAATGGCCCTAGTCAAAGGCCACAAACAGCCCACCTACTGGAAGTGTCCAGAAAAGCAGTACATCCAAATGAATGTCTTCCAGCAGTGAGGGGTGGGCGCCTTCCATCCCATAACCACTTAATTCTCTCGGGACTGGAGGAGTGGCTCTCGCAAGCCTCTGCAGCACTTGGTGTCGGTGAGGATGACAAAGCAGTCAGCCTTTCCCACCCTGTAGCACATCTGCATCGAGACTGTCACACCTCTGGCTGAGCATGCTTGGGCTCCACAAAACACAGGAGAGATTGTTGGCTTTTAGAGAAACTCCTGTTTATCGACTGCTGTCTTTTCATGCTGGAGGAGTTGCTGGTACTTGGTAGAAAAGCAGGATTGAGATGAGTAGAAAATGCAGCTGTCTGGATCAACTTGACACCTATCATGTGGTCTGTGTGTCGACTAACCAGGGAAGTCTGGAATGGCTCATTAGAGAACTATTAATAGTTAAGGTGAGGAGCAGAGACCATAGAGGGTCTGGAATTGGGCCTAAGGAACAAATCCTAATCGAGAAAATAAGGAGCAAGACAGAATATAGAGCAGGAAATGTGTAAGGGCTTCAAGTCAGGACCAGGGCTGTGGGCAGTAGGAATGTGGAAACCGCCTGCTATGTGAGGCCATTCATGTAGTGGAGAGAGGGCTAGCCTTGAACCGCACGTTCACCACCTTCCAGCCTGTGAACTTGAGCAGTCTGCTCAGCTGCTCTTTACCTTAGTTAATGGTCCATGAATAGGTGTGATAACCAAACCGTGGATTGCAGGGTCGCAGTAAGAATTAAATTAGTTAACACATGATGCTTTTAGAACAATGCCTGGCACCTAGGTGGCACTTAGACCTTAGACCTTTTATTATTAACTGTGTGGTGCTACATGCATGCTTACTAATTTGGCTTGAAAAAACTGTCCTCTTCCTTTCTCAGCCCTTCAGTCCAAACATATCTAAAGTACTTACCATAGATCAGAGATTCCCTCCCCATTCAGCAAGGGCTACCAGCCTCCTGAAAGCTGCCTCCTTGGTGTGACACTCCCCACCTCTGTTCCGGAAAGCAGAACAAGGACTTCAACGGGTTTCAGTTATACAGAGAAGTCTTAAGAAAGCACTGCTTAGTGTGACAAATCTCTCCAGAATGGACTGTGTTTGCTAAAGTCCTGGTGGCCCCCCCATCTCCAGCATGCTTTAGGTAGAGCTAATGTGTCTGCTGGGGACTTTGGTTCTCTGAGAGGGAGATGTAACTGCAGACACTAGTCTTCTCCCCTGACTCCTCCCATTTTCTTTTCATCCCAAAGAGTTACCAAGTCCTGTGTTGCTGCCATGGCCCCTGTGGCTATTGGAATATGACCTCAGCCACTGCAGAACTGGAGGAGTCACACTATCCCATTTGGTCCTCGCCATACCTCGTGGCGGTCAGCAGGGCAATGGGCAGCATGATTCACGACTTGGGTCGTGCTGTATCAGCAGAGTTCAGGCTCACCTACCTTGGCTGTTTGGGCTTTTAGAAATGCTATTGGCTTTTTGCTTTTTTTTGTTTTTTGTTTATCTTTTGGACGATACTGGGCTTAAACTCAGGACCTCATGCTTGCAAGGCAGGCATCTACCCTTTGAGCCACTCTGTCAACTGGAAATGCTGTTGTTGAAAATTATTTTTCAGGTGACAATTTTCAGAACAGGTTTTCCTCAACAAATTGATTCTGATGAGATATTCAAAACAAGACAGGGCTGAAACATAAGAGTCTTGCGTTTCCACACAAGCTCTGTGGCCTTCCCAGCAGATTTTCTCTATGGGATTATTCCTGCACCATTGTGTCAGTTAGAAGACATGTCCGAAATAAAAGTTTCCAGAGAAAGAGAGAGGAGAGAGAGAGAGAGTGAGAGCGCCTATGGAATTTGAATTTGTCGTTGTCTTAGAACAAATAACTTTTCCACAATTGTTTTTGGTTTGTTTGTATTTGGCAGTACTAGGATTTGAAACCAGGGCTTCACACTTAGTAGGCAGGTGCTCTGCCACTTGAGCCATACACTAGCCCAGGCCAGCCTGGACCATTACCCTCCTATTTTCACTTCCCGCAGTCATTGGGGACACAGGCACATGTCACCATACCCAGCTTTTTTCACTCTTTGACCAGGCTGCTCTGGAGCCATGAACCCCCACTAGCTCAGCCTTCCATGTAGGTGGGGTGACAGGCGTGCACCACAAGCACCCAGCTCCACAGTTGTTTTGAAAATATTTTAGCTGAAACAATGATTCTTTAGGTCAGGAGCTCTGCAAATTTAGTTTGTCTCATTTATTTAAGAAGTTTTTAACGAGAACCTTCTGTATGCAAGCTGTGTGGCAGAACTGGGAGCGTAGCGATGAGCAAATAGCGGAGGCCCTGCCATTACAGACCTTCCAGCTAAGCAAGGGGAGAAAGGATGGCAAGCAGAGAGAGTATGTACTCTTAGCCTGAACAGATAGCCTGCCTCTCACAGGGTGGGCAGGAATTGGCCTGTGTTACTGGGAGCTTTTCCTAGCCAGAGACAGTGAAGGCAGTGAAGGTGGTCTATGTTGGCACTTGTTTCAAATGTCTTATGGACATTTAGTGCTTCTTATAGTGCCCCATTAATACATATAACATGATCATCTCTTTTGCAGTTGTGGAAACGGAGACTTAGGTAGACCCATAGTCAGTGACGAGGTCATGATTCACACATAGGACCACTGGGCCCTGTGTGCTTAGTCACCATCCGCTGCCTTCTCCCAGGAGGAGTCTCGCCTCAAAGGATTCTCTGTTCACACCTCCAGGCCAGCTGACCGCCAGTCTCCCCTGCTGTCCCTGTCAGGCCTGAGACACCTTATAAGCCCATGTCCTGGTGTATGAGAACCTCACTTGGTTGGGAGGGACCGGGCTGTGCAGAAGCAAAATGAATTTGCTGGGATGCCGTCATCCCGCTTGGAGAAGTGCTGGCACGTTCCTCTGAACTGACTCACCATCTTTCAAGCAGCTCATTCGGTTAAAAGGCATTTTTCTTGGGGTGGGGGAGCTAGGATCACAAAAATGTTTTATAACCAGATTACTTTGTTTTGTCTCTGAATGAGTAATATCATCTATCACATAAATTCTGCATGTTAGCTGTGGGTCCTGAAGATCTGAGGACAGCTATGCTAATGTACAGAAAGTACCCAGTGAGCGCTGGGCACCCAGCAGGCAGGGGGAGCATCTTCATTATAAACATGTTAACTTCCAGAACAGCTCCCATTTGTCAGTCCTACCCACGGATCGTGGCACCTTCCAGGTCAGCTTACAAATTTCACACCTTCCCAGTTTTGCCACTGATGTCAGGCATGCCACTTCTCACCCAGCATCTCGCACACGACTTTGCCTTCTTCTAGCCTTCTAGAGATGTCAGAACTTCCCTGTGGACCTCCCATCTCCTACTGGAGGCTCTCTCCCCACCCCCAGCCAGCTACACTTGGCACACAAAAGTTTTTGTGGTGAAGAAAAAAACAAAGCTGCCTTACACTGAAAGCCTTGGGGGAAAACTGGAAACCTACAAGTCTGTTATTTAACCATCACCACCAAAAACTGTGCTTCCATACCAGACTCAATTTGTATAATAGCAATATGTGAAAAGAAATGCATCTTTTCACTTTCATGTGAAAAGTCCAGAGGTAGTATGGTCCAAAGGCCAGTATGACATTTTCAAAAAGTGATCAGAGATGTGCCCATTTTGCTTTCTTGCTGTTCTTAGCACAAGGATTCTTTCTTATGGTTCAAAATAGCTGGCTTCTCTTCACCATCGTGACTGTGTTTCAGATAGCAAGGAAGATGAGAGTAGGGAGTTGTACCTTCTCCCTTTAGGGAAGCTTCTTAGAAGACCTCACAAAATTTCCACTTACATTTTATTGGCCAGAGTTTGGTCATGTACACAACTAAAATCTAGGAAGAACAGATATTGTGGGGCAACCAGCTATCTCTGCCACACTGACATTTCAAGTAAGCCATCTCCTATTCCTCTTGAGCCTATTTTTATAAATTTGTTAATATAAATAATTTCAAACATTTGCAAAACAGACTAGTGAGTAGAAATAGAATAAGAAAGGCCAGGCATGGTGGTGCACACCTGTAATCCCAGCTACACAGGAGGCATAGGAAGGAGAATCATTGTCCAAGGCCAACCTAGGCAAAAAAATTTGAGGCCCTACCTGAAAAATAACTAAAGGAAAAAGGGCTTGAGGTGTGGCAAGTATGAGACTGAGTTCAAATCCCAGTACTGCTAGAGAGAGAGAGAGGATGAGGAGCCTAGAAGGACTGTGAGGACCCATCACAGTTTCCTGTGTGGCCCATGCATGGACAGGCTCACATCTTCTGTTCTCCATCCAGTCACTGGATAGTTTGGAGACAAGTCCCAGGAGTCTCTTCCTTCAGTGTAACTGCCTTAGTACATGTCTTTGGAACGAGGCACACTTGTTCTGAAAAGGTGCACGTGGTAAATATTTTAGGCTTTTTAAGCTACAGATGGTCTGTAATGGCTGCTCCTCTTTGTGGCTGTGTGTGTGTATGTGTATTGGTGGTGCTGGGGTTTGCTCTTGGTAGGAAGTGCTGTACCACTTGAGCTACACTCCCAAGCCCTTTTTGCTCTGGTTATTTTGGAGATAGGGTCTCACTTTTTTCCAGGCCAGCTTGGACCAAGATCTTCCTAGTTTATGCTTCCCACCTCACTGTGGTGGCAAGTAAGCGCCACCATGTCTAGCTTTTTTCCATTGAGATGGGATCTTACAAACTTTTTTTTTTTTTTTTTTTTGCCCATGTTGGCCTAGAATTGTGATCCTCCCAATCTTAGCCTCCTATCCAGAGTTTTTTAAATATTTGTTATGTTTTTGAACAAACCCTTGGTTTGCTATTTTTAAACAATTTTTTTTAAATTCAAGATCCAAATAACATCCAGATGCTGTAGCTCATTAAATTTTCCCTTTT